CCGATACCCAAAGGGATACCGATATTACTTTGCATACTAGTATCGATAACGTAAGGCCCAACGGCTAGTAATGACTAGTTTTATTTAAAAAAACAAATGTAGTACCGATAATTCCTATAGGAGTACTGATACCCTCTATACTGGGCAATTTTATTTTGCAGAGAAAACATCTCCAACGGGTCCAAATCATCCCCAATGGCTAGAAACAACTACAACCTTATTTTAACTTATAAATACAAGTGCATGACACTTGAAGAAGGGTTAGAACACCTATCTAAGAATTCAAACACAAGAGAAGAGTTTTTTTATTCATATTTTACTTTCTCTTGTAAATATTTTATTCTTGTGTGTTTAATTTTGAAAATACCCTACCTTGTAGAGGTTTTATTGTTTACTTCATTTTATTCATTTTGTAAAAGGGGAGTTGTTCTAGCTAAGCCTTTGGAAAACTAGGGAGTATAAAGGTTATCTCTTACCCTGTGAAAAAGAAATAACAAATTAGTTAATTTGTTAGAAAATCCTTAATGAGGAGCTAAGGTAGTGGAGGTAGACTTATTTGAGAAGTTGAACCACTATAAATCGCTGTGCAAAATTTTCTATCTTTTATTTTTCCTTACACCCTAAACAATTTTTGCTAATTTACCCCTCTTGGCACATTTTTGGTTGTTCATTTGAGCTTCAACAATCCCAACAATTGGTATCAGAGCCTGACTCATTAGAAGGTTTAACCACCTTGAGATGATCCTAGAAGAAGCTCTACTGATTTCCGATGTAACCGACAAAAAGATGGCTTCGACCTTCGGATCTTACTACATTGAAGACTCTCAACCGGTCAACAAGCCACCTTACTTCAATAGAGAAAATTATGCCTATTGAAAGAATATGATGATGCTCCTCATTCAAGCCAATGGTCTAGGAGCTTGGAACTCAATCATGAAGAGATACTCCATTCAACCCGGTGAGATGGATGATTGGAGTGATGGAGAGAATAAGAAGTTCCAACTCAATGCTAAGGCTATGCACATTCTATTTTGTGCATTAGGCCCGGATGAATATAGAAGAGTGTCCTCTTGTTCCAATGCCAAGAAGATATGAGACAAGCTCCAAGTCACTTATGAAAGAACCGATGAAGTGAGGGAAACCAAGATAAGTCTTCTCAACCATAGTTACGAAAATTTCAAGATGAAAGTGGATGAAGACATCAAAGCTATGACTGATAAATTTTCTGTGATTATCAACGGTCTCAAGGGATTTGGAGAAGTAATCCCTAATGAGAAGTTTGTGAGGAAGATTATATACTCTCTTCCAAAGTCTTGGTAATCGAAGAAGATAACGATTATCAAAGCTAAAAACCAAAAGTCTCTCACTCTCGATGAGCTTATTGGTTTATTCTCACTCATGAGTTGATGGTGAAGAAAGATGAAGAAGATGAAGAGAAACAAAACAAGAAAAAGAAGGAGGCAGACATTGCCTTCAAATCCACCAATGAGAGCAATCAAGATTCAAATGAAGAGGTGGATGAAGACGATGATGAAGAAGAAGAGATGACCAAGCTCTCCAAAAGATTCAAGAGATTCATGACTTCTAAGGAAGTGAAACATGAATCAAGAAAAAGGAAGAGTCCCCCAGTGTGCTTCAATTGTCAAATAATGGGGCATGTTAAATATGAATGTCCCCTCCTAAAGAAGAAGACGTCAAGCAAGAAAAAGACATTTTTGGTGGCTTGGAGTGATGAAGATGACTCCAATGATGAAGATGAAGTAGCCAATCTATGTCTCATGGCCATCAATGAAGATTCAATGGTAACTTCTAACTCTAGTGAATTAGATTCTTATTTTTTTTGATGAGTTACAAGTTGCTTATAATGAGTTGTATTTGGAATTTAAGACCATGAATTCCAAATATAAGAAATTAATTTCAAAACTTAAAGTTGAAAATGATTTGGTTTTGAAAGCAAAAGTTGATTTTTAAAAACAAAATAAATCTTAGAAAAATGATTTAGAGCTTTCAAAAGTCAAAATCAATGATTTAGAAAAGGAAAATTTTGATTTGAAAGTTAAGCTTGATAGCTTAACAAAAGAAGAAGAATTAATTTCTAAAAATAACTCATTATGTTTAAAAATGGCAAAATGCTCACATTGTCATTTTCATGGTCATTTGGAACATACTTGTCCCATAAAGAAACGAAAATCTTTTAAAATTAGACAAGTATGAGTTTCTAAGGGAACAAGGGGCATTGAAACTAACGTCCAAGGATCCAAAGCAATTTGGATGCCAAAATCTACTTAAATGTCTCTTGTAGGTATGTGGGAGCAATGGTGTTGAAAATGAAGATATTCAAATGCTCTAGCCACACTTGAAAAGGAATAGGTAACCTCAGCTTAATGCTTTTGTTTTTGATTATTTGGTTGCTCATTTAGGTTTATGCATGCATGAGTTTTGATTTTAAATGATTTCATGTTTTCTATCTCATTATATTGAAAAATGTGTTATGATGAATATTTTAAAGTTTTAATGATTTTTCATAATTTGTAGTTCATCATAATGATTTTATGTAAATTTAACACTTATTCTCCAATGTTATTTTTGAACTTTAAAGTTGAATTATTTTTTATATAACAAAAAGGGGGAGAAGTATGGGTTTGAAAAATTCAATTTCACAATGAAAAAGGGGGAGCTGAACATTTTCCAACAATTGATATCTTTTTCATTAAATATTTTATTAAGGGGGAGTTTTGCCAAAAACAATTTTTCAAATGTTTTGTTATATCAAAAAGGGGGAGATTGTTGAACTATATTTTGATATAACAAATTAAGGCAAAATATTTTTGGATTTGAATTGAATTTATTCAAAGTTTTCAAAAATAATTCAAAGTCTATTAAAAGTGAATTTGAGCACAAAACTGATTTTCAACGTACATAGTACTGATACTGTTCTTATAGTATCGATACTATATGAACAAAACCGACACTGTTCATGTTGTACCGATACCCTAGGTAAGAGAAGTATCGATACTCTCTAGGTAGTACTGATACTACCAACATTGCTCAAATTCCATAATGTAAAATGGTACTGATACCCAAAGGATTACCAATACTACTTTACATAGTAGTATCGATACAATATACTTAGTATTGATACCGTAAGGCCGAACGGCTAGTAACAGTTAGTTTTATTTAAAAATAACAAAGGTAGTACCGATACTTTCTATAGGAGTACTAATACCCTCTGTACTGGGCAATTTTATTTTGCATATAAAATATCTCCAACGGCTCCAAATCATCCCCAACGGCTAGAAACAACTACAACCTCATTCCAACTTATAAATACAAGTACAAGGCACTTGAAGAATGGTTAGAACACCTATCCAAGCATTCAAACACAAGAGAAGAGTTTTTCATTCATATTTTACTTTCTCTTGTAAATATTTTATTCTTGTGAGCTTAATTTTATAAACACACTACCTTGTAGAGGTTTTATTGTTTACTTAATTTTATTCCTTTTGTAAAAGGAGAGTGGTTCTAACTAAGCATTTGAAAAACTAGGGAGCGTAAAGGTTATCTCCTTATCTTGTGAAAAAGAAAGAAAAATTTAGTGAATATGTTAGAAAATCATTAGTGAGGAGCTAAGGTAGTGGATGTAGACTTAATTGAGAAGCCGAACCACTATATATAGTTGTGCAAAATTGTCTATCTTTTCTTTCTCCTTACTCCCTAAACAATTTTTGTAAATTCACCCCTCTTGTCACATTTTCGGTTGTTCAATTGAGCTTCAACAATCCCAACAAGTACTAAAATTGGGGTTTGGCTCGAAGCCCCGTTTGTGTGTATACTTTGTTCGATTGTAGCTTTGTATTCTTGCTCTATTATTGGTTTTCTTTCATGGCAACTCATGATGCACTCTTTTTTCTCCATTTAGGTTTAGAGATATTTTTTTAACGAGGCTCATGATGTTGTTTTGTTTTGTATTCTATCCATCTTGAATACAAAATCCCCTTTTCAAAAAAAATATTTTTTTATTTAGGTTCAAATTTTAATTAGGTATTGATAAATTAATGAGTTTAGTGTGGTTAAAAAATAATTGAGTCTTAATTCTTAATGAGTTTGAGCTTAAAACATGTATTTAATATATATAACATATTTTATATTTAATAATTTCGTTTAATTAACCTATTTCAAACCAAATTAATAGTTAACCGAATATTTAAAAAAATTAACCGTTTTCCAATCGAACTAATTCGGTTCGGTTAATTAATTCAGTTAAAAAAAATGAATACGTCTATCTTTAATAATGATCTTTTTCACGTATCAAATGTCCCGTTTTGGGAAATTTCTTTGTAGTGCTTTCCAACTATTTTAGTAAATTTTTACTCTTAAAAATGGGTTTAGTACGATGGATTCTCTGGTTTCTAGTCTAGAAGGTTGTGCTTTTGAAATTGTTGAATGTTGTGCACGTGTACACGATGAATGTAGTGGTGTTGATAGTGAGAGAATGTTTCTGGTGTTATTGGCGATTGAAAAAAGTCACCAGAACGACGATAATAGTGGAAGAGTCGATTATTAAGGTATTTTTAATAAGAGGGTAGGTAATTTGGGTGTATCAATGGACTTGGATCGGGTGAGGAAAAGATTTGTCTGCGTTATCATTTCATTTGAATTTTAACAGTCTATTGCTTAAATTGAACCAAAATGAAATTTTAATGCTAAAATAATATTTAGCTTTAGTTTAGCTGTATAATTGATACAAACTTTAAAGTTTAATTACATATGATGTAATTTACCCTATATGATATGCTTTACTTATAAAGATATTACTTTATAATCACATTCGATTAATAAAAAAACTATATTTTTATTTTAAGAATATTAAATATCACTTTCCGAAATTATATATTAAATGTCCAAAAAAATTATAGACACGTATTAATTTATATATTTAAATTAATTACTATTAAATTATAATTGAACTATTTAATAAATAAAATCAACCCATGCATGCATCTTACCATAATATCCAGCAGTGATTTTGAAGTTGGAGAGGTTAATCAGTATGTTTCATTAACCTGGCGTGATCATGTTATGGCAAGTGGGATTGCAGGGGTAAGGGCAGTCGATCTTCTTCGGTGGTTTACGGTTGAAGTACCAATCACTCACAGACTCTGCAATGGTCTGTTTCGAAAAACACCATCTAAGATCAACCTTTCTGAATCCCATAATACATCCCCAGATTTCTGATAATCGTATCGGATACGGATTCCGGAAATTATCTTTTGATTCCCATAATACATAACATGTTGAATATTAAAAACATTGCTAACCTTATTGTTGATTCTTGGAGAATTGGGTGAATGCCATGTCTCAGCCATCCATGTCTGGCAATGAACAAAGCAAGAATTTATAAACATACCCCCTTCCTTGTCTTTCTCAAGCTTACTTAGTGCCTTGTGTAGGGAACTACGGAAACCTAGACGAGGCAATAAGAAATCAGGCCAGGCGAAAGTCTAATTGGGATTTTTTTAATAGTCTGATATGATTATAAAGTAATATGTATTAAGAATTTTTCTTAGTCTATTAACAACACACGCATACCCTGCAGACACAATCTAATTGTGATTGTTGAGCGAAGTAGATGGGGTGCGTAATGCATATTACACATCCAGCTACCTTGTAGTATTTTGATCTGGCTAGAATCACATTCCTTAATGTTCAATCTGCATCTTTTCCAATAGCCACGAGGATCCGATCCGACAGGGACTAAGACATGTTGTATCTGATGATTATCTAGTCAGTGTTAGAACCTATAAATAGAGAGGAAATAATGGTGTTTGAACAATTTACCTGCCAAAAATCATAAGCGGGGTTGACAATGAACAATGGGGTTCGAACGTTTTTGATAATTTGATGAGGGAAGATACACTGGAAGAGCAATCAACAACAGATGAGATCAGGTTAAAGGCCAAACGTAAACAAGTGAAAAACCTGCCTTGGACGGCTCCATTGTTCTGGTACATTTCTTGTTCAAACTTTTTGTTACACTCTGAACATGGCATGCAGACAAGAGATGTCAACAATATCGATAATGGTTGAATAATACATGACATTATATTATGCGAGTATGATATATGGAGATTGAAGCTGAACCTGTAGTTGGACAACATCATGGTAGAAATCACTTATGGTGCGATTTCCAAGAATATCTGGCCTGAAATATAGAAGAATTCACTTAAATCATATGAATATATGAAGCAGTTCATGGTAAATCTGGAAAACTAAAACATTTTTTTGATCAATGGAAAACTAAAATATACTCATCAAGGAAAAAGCCTGGATCAGTAAGACACTTGACAGTAGCATCCGTTGGTAGATGATCTCGAAACTCATCACAATGTATAAGGGTTGCTAAACCTCCAGCAGAGCATCCTGAAAGAAGAGCCTGCAAACTCAACAAATCCATTACCTTGCAACTAATAACAACTGAATGACAACAATTTCACCTTTAAAATATGAAACCATAAAGATGAACCTTTGTCGCTACCTGTCTTGCGTTAGACAAGCCAAGTGACAAGAGTTCACTCATAATTGCTTCCCAGATGAGTTGGCCTCTGAAGAAAAGCTTTGTTCCATTCTATGAAAACACAAAAAAAAAAAAAAAACTCAGTTCTTTTCAGCAAACAATTGTTCGAAACCTAATTAACAAACAAAGTTTACCTTGAACTCACTTTCAGGATGGCCAGCAAAAGATGCACCATCGCAATAACGTATCTTAACTATGTTCCAATTATAAAAATCTGAAAAAAGAAGAAGGAAATTACCCGTTTTGAAAGCACACTCTTTAAACTGCATGACAAAACGGAAACTTGAAAAACAAGGCATACCAGGATTTTGTGAAGGATGACGGCTTAAAATCCCGGCAAATGGAACCAGGCGGTCCATGTACTCTGATGAACCTAAAGCTTTTCCTTTTCTTACATTGCATGTTTTTATAGAATTGCACCAACCTCCACCCTATAAACCAAACAAGGAAACTTGAAAACGAAGCTAAATTCTTGTAAAAATGTCAAAGATAAAAGCAATGAATTTACATCAATGTGGAGAAGCCAATTGTTAGAGCCAGATTCAGAGCCCTTCTGAAAATGGTATCCTGGTAAACTTCCATCTAAGCAAACTGAAGAACAGAAATCAAGAGAAATATTTAGTTTTTAAAAGAAAACCGAGATAAAAGGGTCGAATTTGAGGAGAAGAAAAGTGGGTACATGCGCCTGTGGCTTTGGCTCTATTGAGCAAAGTCAATGGAACGAGACCCTGAGTGGAGTGGTGATCGATGGTAGGAGAGGGAGTGTCGGAGTTTCGAGAATCAAAGAGGAGAGTAAGAGCGAATAAGATGAATGTGAATCCGACTGCTGTTATGGCCCAATCCTTCTTCGCCCATTTTCTACACCGAGACAAAGCGCGAAGCCTGGGATTTGCCATTGAAAAGGAGCTTTTCCCCTTCTTCTCCTTGAGGAGTTTAGTTCCTGGTTTATGGCTGATTTAAGCTTTGCGTGTCTTCTTCTTCAAAGGTTCCTTGATCCATGTTGATGTGAATTTGGCAGTTCAGGTGGCTATCACATCTGTTTTGCATGGTTTTGAGTTGCTTTCGAGTTTCGACCCCTGAATACCATTATGGGGAACACGCTTTACACCTGCCTTTTACAGTCCTTTTAACACTGTTTATAGTTTTGCGTACTTACGTGCTGCACTTTCAAAAAGGGTTTCCCAAAGTTTTAAACTTTTCAAAATTTATAAGAATATATTGCATTTTAAAAGTATTATTAGATATTTCTTCTCTGATTTTTTTTCTATTTTCAAATTCGTAGATCCTTTACAATTAATTTGTGATCTAAAGCAATTTGAACAGTTCTCATTCCATGGCATATAATTTTTTAATAGGCCGTACAAGGTGGGCCCCACACCCGGCGTGACGAGTTCCATGGCATATATTTTATCTCCGTGAAACTGATCACGCTGGCGTGGCGAGTTCCAACGATTATAATTTTCAAATATTTGCCGTTGGCTTGACAACTTTTTTGACAATATCGGTACTGCCTCAGCAGTATCAATACTACTTCATTATTTTAGGTTTCAGTATTGATATCATATATGGTATCAATACCATTTTAGCATTCTGTTTTAATAGTATTGGTACTTCCTCAGCAGTATCGGTACTACTTCATTATTTTGAGTTTCAGTATCGATATCATATATGGTATCGATATCATTTTAGCATTCTGTTTTGACAGTATCGGTACTGCCTCAGCAGTATCGGTACTGCCTCAGCAATATCGGTACTGCCTCAGCAGTATCGATACTGCTTCATTATTTTGGGTTTCAGTATCTATATCATATATGATATCGATATCATTTTAGCATTCTGTTTTGACAGTATCGGTACTTCATCAGCAGTATCGGTACTACTTCATTATTTTGGGTTTCAATATCGATATCATATATGGTATCGATATCATTTTAGCATTATGTTTTGACAGTATCGGTAATGCTTCATTATTTTGGGTTTCAGTATCGATATATGTATCGATACTGATTTAACAGTATTGGTACTGTTATAGCAGTATCGGTACAAAAATATTTAAAAATCATTTTTGCACTCGATTAAAGTTCGAAACCCTTAGTAAAAAATATTTCAAAAAGGTTTTCAGTATAAGACTCAAATTTGCCAAAATAGGTCAGTCAACATAAATAATATCCAAAATATAGTGGGCATGATCATAAACATAATAAGAGGTAACATGGTAATAAAAATATACGAAATATGATCAATAAAAATCCAATCATCCAAAACATTATAGTATAACCAAATCCAAAATATCAAATACGAAGAAATTCAAGGAAATTGAAAGTTCAAAGTATGACACTTGAAAGACCAACAACGAACAACTAGCAAAGCAATAGTATGATAAATCATCCGATGGAGGATCGAGATCCGAAAGAGGTGCACAGAAAGAGGTAACATCTTGTGAAAGAGCATCGAGCCTATCTGTCACGACATCGAATCGAGCTAGGGTGTCGCGTTGCAGCTTGGTCAGTTGAGTCCTCAAGGCAGTAAAATGGGACTCCATAAATGCAAACCTCAGATCTAAAGTCTCCATCAGAGAATAAAAATAGGGAGGCATAACATTACTAGCGCTCGGAGGCTTGTCAGGGATGCGATTTACAGGATCATCAACATCTTGTCAAACATCATCGGCGTGAGGAAGAGCTGGAGCTGGAGCAGCTCTAGAAGAACTAGCATTGGGTTTCTTTTTAGGTGTCCGTTCCCAATTTGTCCCAACTTGAGTCCATCATGACTTGCGGAGAGAGGTAAAATCTATTGGGGCACCCAAGGGGATGGCAACATCTAGGTCGACTTTAATACCGACTTTGATAAAGAAATTACTAAGAAGACAACCATAAACCAAAGACTCGACTCTCTTAGAGGGAATATGGTTAACGATGTCCACTAGTTCACCGAAGATTATTTGAGCAAGATTAATTTTTTTATTGTTTTGAAAACAATGGATCCACCAAATATTGATACTGCGAAAAGAGGAGTATTTTCCTGCAGATGGTCAAAACCATAAAGAGATAATCAAGTGAAGAAATCACTCGTGGAAGTCAAGGATACTAGCGCTATTTCTAGGCCTGTAAACGAACCTAATGCACACGAACGGAGGTATGTTCATGTTCGTTCATTTAATAAATAAATGAACATAAACGAACACGAACATAAACGAACAATTTTTTTTGTTCATGTTTGTTTATTAAGGAATATAACTTGTTCATGTTCGTTCATTTAATAAATAAACGAACACGAACATAAACGTTGGAGACCCTGCCTTCCATTGTTCTTTCATGAAAAATAGTCGACAATGCAAATCAACCAAATCTACAGTGATAAATAGCGTAAGAGCTTATTAGCAGTGATGAAATGTTTGAAGATATCAAATATTTCGATCGATCTTTTAAAGATATTAAATGATTCACACGACTTTAATTTAACGATATAACATTTATCTTAGTGGTCCATGATTACATATGAACAATCATTTTCTACTACGTTATTCTAATAAATTTGCCGGCTAAAAGTTTTGTGACATCAATGTCAGACTTTAGTGAGGTTTGTTAATAATAGTTCTTTCAGTTGGCAGAGTAGAAAATTTAACAACATGAAGATTTCTAACAGTACAAATTGAACTACAAGGCAATAACATAGATCCGAAATCCATTTGATGCTATATATCGTAACTGATATTATTGTTAAACCACCATTCAAAATTTTAACGTACCCAAAGTCTACTCCACAACTAAAGGTCACACAAGAACTATGAAAACAAAAGTTCATTGTCAAATTGTTTTTTCTACTTATTAATGGATTCTTCATGGAAAACCCATTACTTCCGCTATTACACTCTTTTGCAGAAATTGCATAAACCTTTGTTTTGTTTTCTGTAAAATTCTATATATTTTTCTCTTTACTGATGCTCATATACTTCCGATTGTTACCTTTATCTTCCCATCTATTTCTAGAAAGAAGTATGATGTTTTCTTGAGTTTTAGATATGAAGATACCCGCAATAACTTTACATATCAACTATTAAGCCAAATATAATAGAGAAAAAGATGAAAACATACATGTAAAACTTCATATTGCACTATAATATAACTTGTTTTGAAGCTTTCAGCGATCGTCTCCACTCTTTAGTGAACACTAGGGTTTGGGAAAAAAGGGGAAAATGAATATAGGTGCGAGGTGCCTCACAGGTTAACATATTGGATTTAATCTCCAAATAAAATTGGGTTAATTATGAAATTGGTCATCAGAATATCAGATTAATTAATATTTTAAGATACTTACAAATTGGTACCAAAATTGATTTAAGAAGATTGAGTTAAACATAAATGAATGAACATAAACGAACATAACCGAACGAACATAACAGAACGTTCACAAACGTAAATGAACAAATGAGACCTATGTTCATGTTCGTTCATTTAATTAAACGAACACAAAATCTTGTTCATGTTCGTTCATTTAATAAATAAACGCACATAAACGAACTTCTCGTCGTACGGTTCATGAACGGTTCACTGAACGTTCAGTTCATTTACAGGCCTAGCTATTTCCTACTTCTAAGGAAGAAGGGATGATATCTCGCTCATTATCAATCATGGTGTTTTCGAGACCAAAAGCACGGGCAATAAAGTCAGAATCAATGGTAATGTATTTGTCCAAGAGATAAGAACAAATACTTTCAATATGTATACGAGCTTCATTTTGGATGAAAATTGTATTAGAATAGAAAATGTGGACTAGTTGGTGAAAGACAACGGGTTTAATTTTGAAAGTATTGTCAAATTTCCAAGCTTGTAGAAGGGGTAGGTATTTAAATTTCATTTCTTGCATTGCCGAAAGAGAGGGGAGAAGCCCAACCCTAATAGTATAAGACTCAAAATAGTTTAGATATCGTGAATATAGACTTCGATGATTTGGTTCATTAAAACACGAATTTACTATGGTCATTTCAGTTGGATTGGGAGGAAGATTTGGTGGAGGGTTAGGAGGTGGATTAGCGTGAGAGGAGGATGATCTAGGACGTTTCTGAGACATGTTAAAGAGAATCGGAATAAAGATTATACCTGCAAAGAAAGACAATACATATGTTTGCACTCAATTAATCCCAAAACTCAATATAAGTCAACAATACAAGGTATTCTATAACTAAATATTTTTAATATAATATGATGGGCAACAAAATGATGTTTAATATAAAAAAAACAAGTTATGAAAAATAAAAGTATATGCATATTTTTTTTATTTAATGAAATTTCGAATTTTGAAGATTTTGTTTAAAACAATTGTATATTCTAGTCTAAAAATGCAAAATAAGTAAAGCCCATTCACTAATTTAAGAAAAAACTAACTAAAACTAGCCTTAAATTCGAAAAAAAATTAGTGTTTAAAAAAAATTACCTTCAAAATTAGGATTGAGATGGAATTTGATGATGAATGCATGATTTTAATGATGCTAGCCGGCTGGAAAGTTAAAAAAACAAAACAAATCCGAATCCAAAAAGATGCAGTGAGGCGATTTTGAGAAGGGTTTAGGGTTGTGTGACTGAGTGTTTTAGAGTTAGGGAAAAAAATGATATTTTGGGGTTTTATAAGATGAACTCGATAGGTAGTATCAGTACTTTAGTTGGAGTATCGATACTTCAAGGCAAAAACTGTATGGTATCGATACCTTAACGAGGTTGCAATAACAATATCGGTACTTGATGAATAGTATCGATACTGATCAAGAACAGTATCAATACTAGATGAACAATATCGGTACTAAGTGCACATAATGGTTTAAAAATTGCAACAAAAACACATAGGATGAAAATTTCAAATCATAAATAGCGGGAAAATCAAGTATGTTCAAGGATGAAAATTTAGCAAAAGT